CATCATCAACTCCTTCAGTCACTTTGACTTCAGCTTGATGACACCTGGTTAACTCAACATCTCTTTTGCAGCAATGCCTGCAGTCTTTTGCAGGGTCTTCGGCTCAGTCCATCAGCATTTCCATGAGATTCTCCTTCTCTATATTCAATATCATAATTATACTGGTCTATCTTTCCGATATAATGTGCCAGTTGTCCCTCTGGGTTCTTTAATGATCTTAACCAGCGTAACACAGCATGGTCTGTCCTGATGGTAAACCTGGCCCCATAGAGGTAAGGATGGAAATATGTCAGACTCTTTACTATAGCAAGGAATTCCTTTTGAGTTACACAGTAGTTCCTCTCTGGTCTACTCAGGACCCTACTGAGACAACACTTTCTGAGACAACACTCCTCCAATTCCGACATTACTAGCATCACAATCCAGTATGTATGGCAGTGAGGGACTTGGAAGCTTTAAAAGTGGAGATCAGGCCAATTTTTCTTTCAATGTCTTGAAAGCATGCTGGCAAGAAACTGTCCATTCAAACTTCTGGCCTTTTTTAGTCAAATCATGTAGTGGAGCAGCTGTAGTTGCATACAAACTTCCGGTAATAGGTACAGAGTCTCAAGAAACTTCTTAACTCTCCCACATTGTCTGGTGTTGGCCAATAACGCACTGCTTTCACCTTGTCAACATCAGTTTGCACACCATGCTCACTTACAGTGTGACCCAAGCAAGGCACCTCTTTCTGGAACAAGTGGCATTTCTTGGGATGGAGTTGGAGGTTTGCTGCATTCAAACGCTTGAATACTTCCTCTAGCCGGGACATTTCCTCAACAAAAGTTGTTGTAAATACAATGACATCATCCAGGTACACTAGGGCTATCCTCCATTGTATGCCTTCCAGTACACTTTCCATCAGCCTCTCAAATGTTGCTAAAGCATTGCTAAGCCCGAATGGCATCACACAATATTGCCAGAGACCTTAACCATAGCTAAAAGCAGTCTTAGGTTTATCTGCTTCAGCCAGTTTTACTTGATGGAAACCTGACTTTAAGTACAGAGTTGAAAACCACCTGGCTCCACTTAGTGTATTAAGAGTATCATCGATTCTTGGCAGTGGGTATGAGTATTTTCGGTTATACTGTTAAGAACCCTGAAGTCCACACTGCAACATTGGGCCCCATCCTTCTTCTGGACTAACACGATGGAAGCTGACCAGGGACTATCTGATTTCTCGACTATCCCTTCCTTAATTAAACCATCCATGATCTTCTCTATCCCTCCTGTCACTTTGCT